ACATTTTAGCTAATAGCTCAGCTCGATTTTTTTATAAAGCTTGAGTCATCTGAATATTGCTAATATGATTTAGGCATTTAAGATGGGAATAAACCACTAAATTTATGTTTATGTATGGTCATTTGTTTGATGTAGATCCTTGCAAAAAAAGGATCTACACACTATGATTTTAAATAGGATAGATACACACTTTTTTTTTTAGAACTTTAAAATTTTATTTTATTTTTTAAAATCTTTATTGTTGAATGTAGAATGTATTACAGATGTTCCTCATTTTTCCCCCAATGACCCCCACTTCTCCGCTCCCACCCCCCTCCCGCCTTTTCCCACACTATTGTCTGTGTCCATTGGTTATGCATATAAGATCCTTGGTTTATTTCTTCCCACCTCCCAACCACTTTCCCTTTGAGGTTTGTCAGTCTAGCAATGAATTTGTACTTCTTAATCCCTTCACCTTTTTCACCCATTCCCCCAACCCCCCTCACATTTGGCAACCAACAAAATGTTCTCTGTATCTATAAGAATGTTTCTGTTCTACCTGTCCATTTTGTTTGTAGATTCCATTGTTGATAGATATGTATTAATTGCCATTTTGTTTGTTCATACATTTTATCTTTTTCTTCAAAAAACCCTTCATCATTTCATACAGTAACGGTTTGGTGGTGATGAACTCCTTTAACTTTTTCTTGTTTGCGAAAGTCTTTATATGGCCATGGATTCTAAATGACAGCTTTGCAGGATAGAGTAATCTTGGTTGTAGGTTCTTGCTTTTCATCACTGTGAATATTTCTTGCCACTCCCTTCTGGCCTGCAAAATTTCTTTTGAGAAATCAGCTGACAACCTTATGGGAACTCCCTTGTAGGTAACTAGCTGCCTTTCTCTTGCTGCTTTTAAGATTCTCTCTTTCGCCCTGGCCGGTTTGGCTCAGCGGTTAGAGCGTCCGCCTGCGGTCCGGAGAGACCCGGGTTCGGTTCCTGCTAAGGGCATGTACCTCGGTTGCAGTTTGTCCCTGGCCCTGGTTGGTCGTGCGGGTGGCAGCCACTCGATGTGTCCCTTTCACATCGATGTTTCCCTCTCTCTCTCTCTTCCTCTCTCTCCCTCCCACACTGTCTGTACAAAAAATGGAAAAATGTCCTCGGATGAGGATTTAAAAAAAAAAAGATTCTCTCTTTGTTTTGAACCTTTTGAATTTTGATGATTGTCTTGGTGTGGGCCTCTTGGGGTTCATCTTGTCTGGGACTCTCTGTGCTTCCTGGACTTGTATGTCTGTTTCTTTCACCAAGTTAGGTAAGTTTTCTGCCATTATTGTTTCAAACAGGTTTTCAATTTCTTGTTCTCGCTCTTCTCCTTCGGGCACCCCCAAGATGCGAATGTTGGCACGCTTGAAGTTGTCCCAGAGGCTCCTTACACTATCCTCATTTTGTTGGATTCTTTTTTCTTTTTGCTGTTCTGATTGGGCATTTTTTGTTTCCTTATATTCCAAATCAATGGTTTGCTTCTTGGATTTTCGTACTCTATTGAATCTGTGTAAATTATTCTTTATTTCAGTTAATGCCTCCTTCATTTCTGACTGTGCATCCATCATTTCTGACTGGTCCTTTTTTATGCTCTTGAGGCCCTCACTAAGTTCACTGAGGTTCTCACTAAGTTCATTGAACATCCTTCTAAGCAGTATTATGAACTCAGCATCTGTTAGGTTGCTTATCTCCATTTCGCTTCGTTCTTTTCTTGGGGTTTTGTTCTGTTCTTTCATTTGGGACCCGTTTCTTTGTCTCCTCATTCTGGCTGCCTCCCTGTGTTTGTTTCTGTGTATTACTTAATGAGCGGTATGGGGCTAGCTGAGACCAGATGCTGCTCGTTTGAAAGAATTTAGGAAAAACCTGAAGCAGGATCCAAGACAGGCCAATCCTATGGTTAAGCAAGTGGCAACAGCTTGGGTGGGCCTGAAAGTTGGGTGGGGCGGGGCCTCAGGGAGTCAGCAGGGCAGGGCTACCAGTGTGAGCCAGGTTGCTGGAGTCCCAGATATGGCTTCTGTCTGCCGCCCGAGGGAAGGGCTCATCAAAGGAACAAAGGCCTCTGACAGCACGTTTGTCCCGGAGAAAGCCCCCTCTCCAGCCCTCGCTCCAGTGCCAAACAGCTCAGTTCTTCCCTGTATGTCTCTGGTGCCCCTCGAGCTGCCTCCCCTCCGAGCTTAGAGGGAGAGAGTCTGATAAGTCTGTGCGCGGGCCCTTTAAGGAGCTGCCTGGGGCTCCAGCAGCTTCAGCCTCCCTGAGCCTCAGTTCCCGCTGGTTTTTCCAGCCAGAAGTTATGGGGATTCTCTTCCTGGCACTGGAACCCTGAGCGGGGCACCTGGTGTGGGACGGGGACCCCTCAGTCCTCAGGGAGGACCTTCCCAGGCGAGGTGTCCTCCTGATTTTTATCCACCACACGTGGGTGTGGGACCAGCCCGTCCCCTCCGCCCTCCTACCAGTCTGGATGTGGCTGCTGCTTTAATTCCGTAGTTGTAGGACTTCCATTCAGCTTGATTTCAGGTGGTTTTGAATGATGGTTGTTCTGTAGTTTAGTTGTAACTTTGATGTGGTTGTGGGAGGACGTGATACCGCGTTTACCTACCCGCCGTCTTGACCGGAAGTCCTCTAGAACTTTAAAATTTTAGATGCTTTTTTCTTTACTTGTTCAAAAGAGGAAGACCTGCACTGGCCAATTTTCTTAGTGGTTAGAGCATTGGCCCACAGACCAATAAGTCGCGGGTTCAATTCCAGCCAAGGGCACGTACCTGGGTTGCAGTTCTTCCTGGTCCTGGTCAGGTTGAGTGGGAGGCAACCAGTCAATGTGTCCCTCTCACGTGGATGTTTTTCTCTCCCTTTATCTCCCTCTCTCTCCCTCCCACTCTTTTTGAAGATACATAGAAAAATATCCTTAGGTGAGGATTTAAAAAAACAAAAGAGGAAGGCCACTCCCTGTATACATTCCATGAAGAAGATGAAATCCCAACTTCTTTATCATAAACCTCACTGGAGGAGGAGCGAGGGGAAAGCCAAGCTTCTTTTGTTGAGCCCCGGCTGGCTACGGATTCGGGATGTGTTGAGACTGAAAAGGGATATGAATGAGAAGGACAAGAGGAACTGCCAAAACACACAGACTGGCTGACTTGAGTTTCAAAAGCGTGGGCTTGAATGTACACACAACCATGGTCTCAGGCCCCCGGATCAGAGCAATGCCAGGGCTTACATCTTTTTCTGGATAAGAACAAATTGGGGTGGAGTACACTCTTTGTCTAATGTGTTGCCAGTGCACGAATTTTGCAAAGGACTCAACTTATTCACATTGAAACAAAGCTATGCTAACAAAACATCAAAGACACCAAGTCATGTAACAGCAAAATGATCCTTAAGAGTTTCCTGTCCCTCCATTCAGAGTCTGAAAGTGTTTGCCTCTCTCTTCTTGATTTGTGTTAAATCATAGTGTTTTGCCAAAGTCAGAGCTGCATGGCCAAGTTAAACCATATCACCCATGTAACTTGAGAAGAGTCCATGCGTGCAATGTGGTGGTGATCATTCCTTCACTCTCTTTCCAGCCTCTTGGCCCAAAAGTCCTAGCACACACTGTGTGGTGCCACCGTGGGTGGTGGTCATATTCTAGATGATTCCCAGGAAGATGCAGCTGTTGCAGCCTGAAGGAGAAAACTCAACCTTCCCAAGAGTAACACAGGGACCCATTCCCCTGCCCTGCCCACCACTGCCCTACACACACTGAAAACAAAACCATAACAACAACAAAGAAAAAGAGTAACTGCGGTGGTACAAGAAGTTCCTTTTTGCCCTTGCCATTCCACCTACCAGGAATGCATGCAAAAAACTTCTTTTACAGGGTCAAATTGTACATCAGAACCAACCCTCTCCATCCGGACCCCCCTTTTGTTCCTCTCCTAATTTTCTACCCTAGCTCCATTTCCCTTCTTCCAGTATTCCTCCTTTTTGTGGGCAATTCTGTTGATAGGGCAAGGGCCTCAAGGCCTGGGCAATTCTAAACATTATTTCTTGCTAAATGTTCAAACCTAGCACAGTATTTTGCAGATGCAGCAGTAAACAAACAAGGTGAGCTGACAAGAACTCAACAAATAAAAGCAGCCAACTGCGAAGACTAAACCAACATGTCATCGACCAGTGTACAGACGCAGTGGTGAAGGCTCCCATGGGGGAGGCAGAGCTTCAGATGTGAATCCCTCTCCGTAACTCGCTGCAGGTGAATAAAACAACCTTGCGACAACCAAGTCTTGTTCTTGAATGAAGCACCCCAAGCCGCGAACCCCGAGTCTGGTAACGGTCCCACTGTAAATCCCTTTCTCATTCATTTCCTACTAGGTGTCAGGTATTGCTCTAGGATCTGGGGGTGAATGAAATGAAACATAGAAGACCCTTGATATTGTGGACCTTATATTCTGTGGCAGGAGGTGGAGGGAGAAAAAATATAAATACATAAGGGAGTTTCGGGTAATGATGAGCTTTGAAGGGAAGCAAGCTGGGTAATGTGATAATGGGGTAGGAGTGTCTAGGGGTAGCAAAGGGGGAAAACGGTTTTAGGATGGAAAGAAAGCCTGTGTGTGTGTGGGGGGGGTGATTAAAACAGAGTTCAGACCTGAATCATAGGAGCGATTCGGGCAAAGGGGAAGCATTATAGGCAGAGAGAAAGGCTTTGCAGCGAGCAGTGAGGCAAATGCAGGGAACTGAAGGGAAGCCGGGGCAGTTAGAGTGTGGAGAACAGTGACGGTGACGGCGGTGTGAGCTGTGAAGTCAGAGTTTGCAGGGGCTACATCACACCTGGCCTGGGAGGTATCGCAGTGGTTTGAGTTTATCCTAAATGCACTATGATGCCAGGTCCTAGCAAAGTAACACACTCTTTATCCAGAACACTCACCATCCATTGCTCCTTTGCATTATACACAGACCAGTCCTATAAAGATTTTACGACCATCGAACACACATAAAGGATTTATTATATAAGGGAGTTTGGGACACACAAGAGCAGGTGACAAACGTGGAACCCCTCTGCCTCACTAATCAGCGTCCTCTTCTCCCATGTCTCCAACGTGTTAGAGCTGCCTCATTCCTACATTCCTACGGCACCTGTTCCTTGTCCGTTTTGATACATTCATCATTTGCCTTTGGATTTTCATCTGTTTTTACCCCCAAATGATGATCATAGATGCATTTTTAAAATCAGTTCATTTATCCATATTTCTGAGTAGGTCGTTAGGAAAAAGGTTAAGACAGTTTGTTCCATTCTAAACCAAAAATCCCCATTTGGCACAGAGTGCTGACTCATGGTGGGACTGATCCAAGCGCTGGGGCCCGCGGCCAGCCACAGCATGTCTCCGCGCAGCGCTAATGCTCTAATGTACGGATGGGTTTTGGGTTTTTGTTGTTGTTTTTTTGCCATTAGCAATATTCAATTTCCAGTTGTCTTTGACATAGCCCCAGGGTTTTCCAAATAAAATTCAACCTGAAAAAAAAACCATGCCAGTTAATGAACATTTCTCAGCAAATGCATTGTAGCTGGGATAAAAATAACCAAATTGTTCATGTGACTTAAAATTACCCAATTTTCTAGCATGTGTTTACTGCAACTCACAATGAGTCTTAGTGTATCTTAAAATCCCAGAGTAATCAACTCCAATTAGAATGCCTCTCCACTCAAATTAAGTTACCAATTAGATAAATTCTCCCAAATGAGAAGTGCATCCAAGGTGAATTAGATTAATCCTATCATTATAGAAGTCCTACTTGTACTCTCCATTTATACTGTAGTATTCTCACCCAGTTTTCTTTAAAGGGGAAATAAGAATGCATGATTCATATATTTCCATTTGAGGAATTCAATTATGAATTTTTAAGTGAATAGCCAGTACTTTTGAATGCTACTTCGAGACTCCACTGTGGGGGGTGTGTGTGAGAGAGATCCTATTTGACACCAAAAATTCATCCCATAGAAATAAAAGAGAATGACAAAAAGTCTCCTCAGGATACCTCAGTGGAATGAGTGCTTTTATTTTAACTGATATGTCTCTGCAAATACACTCAGGCACAAATGAGAGCTTCTTAGGCCCGACACAATTTAAACTGTGAAAGATGAGCGGGACCGTTAGAGACCTTCACCCTCCAGGTAACCTATGCTCCTTGACATGGGAAGGGGACGTGAGTTCTCCTCCAGTCCCCCTGCTTCGGATTACATGAGAGACTCCAGCTTTGGTGTGAAGCTGTCAGCTGTCCTAATCAAGGACAATGTACAAAAATTGGACTCTAGGAATGAGTGACAAAAGGGAGGAAAATCTAGACGTGGGTAGAGATAAAAGGGCAGCGCTGAGCTGCAGAAAATGTCCAAGGAGGGCAGACTCCAGTTAAGGTCAATAGGAGAAAATGTCTCGGTGTACAGGGAAAGACATCAGACAAGGCACAGATGGCCTTGGCCATCCAGAACGAAGGGGTCAGGGGAGTAGATGTCTGCACGCGGTAGGCAATGGAGCTGGAAAAAGCAGAAATGTAAACCAGTAATGATTCTCTGTCTTGAGCCTGGCTAGCTTACACATAGCTCTCCTGCCACTGGACAAAACAAATGTTCATGAGGAGATCCAATCATTAATGCAACAAACTCTAATGAGGTCTAGGTTGAGGGTCGTTCTGTTCTCAAACGTGGGGGCAGACCAGCTCCTGGGAGAGGAGAAATGGAGGTGTGGAATCTGAACATCTTAAAGAAGTCATCTAGTAGCTCTGGTCACTTCAGGCATTCCTGGGAGATACATAACAGGTCACCGTAACAACACAACACTCACTGATACCTGTTTGTTCCCCAAGACCCACATGACAATGAGTTTCTACCATCTTATTTTACAGAGATATTATTCAGTCCAGGTTACAATCAGATTTTACAAAAGAGAATTTGACTACATAGCTATTTATAACATGGATGTGGTTAAGAAAAAAGCGCAGGGCTGGAAGTCAGAAGAGCTGTGTTTCAGTCCTGTTCAGCTGTGTGGACCTGGAGAAGCTGCTCAACACCTCTGGGTCTCGGTCTGTTCATCTGTAAAGTGTGGTGCTGAACCCGCTCCCGCTCCCCCTGTGCTCCCCCCATGTTCTTGACGGATCCCCCAAATGGAAGCTCACTGTGGAAATGTGAAAGCAAAGGAAGGATGTGGCACTGAAACAAACTGGATAAGTGCTTAACCTCGAATATAATCATCTGTCCTCAGGAAGGGACTTCTTGTCTACCGGTTCGATAAGTCTCATCAAAAGGCCATTTATTTGTCACTTCTGAGAAAAGTAATTATCAGATGATAGTTTTGGAATAAGCTCAAGAGAAGTCTCAGATAAGTCTGAGTTTGAGTGAAAAATTACTTTGGGCTTGGTTGGAGGTGGGGTCAGAGGAAGGCTGCACTCCCATGACAAGTCAGCCTTTATTCTAGCAGCGGTTGGTCTGCACGGCCGCTCCACAGGCCTCAGCGCTGTGTCCTATCTCATTCTCTAAACAACATCATTGATATCCTGGTCCAAAACACACCTGAGTTGTATACACTAATTACAGGGGAGAAAAGAACTAAAATTTGCCAAGTGCCCTCTCTGGGCTAAGCACTTACAAGGTGTTTTACATACATTCTGTCATTTTAACCTCAAGGCAACTTTGAAAGGTTCCACTGTCCCCATTTTACAGGTGAAGAAACTGAGACTCAGAGTGGTTATGACTTGCCCAAGTTCACACCACTAGGATGTGAGAGGGATCTGAAATAAAAATTCAGGGCTTCTGACTTCACAGTCTATGATTTTTCTTCTATAGCATCATGCTACCTAGAAGAAAAAGAAATGAGAGTGACTGGTTGGCTAGCATAGTTAGGGAAAGGGATGTACAGTTAGTAAGGAGCTCGCCTATTCTATATCGCTCTGCAATGTCCAATTTTCAAACAATCAGAGTAGGACAGAAATCTTCAATATTAAGTCACTAATAAACATAAGCAATCTGACTTTGATGATCCATAAGGTGCTTTCAAATTTTGCTGAGCCTTAAAGTTCTCGCTAACAATACTGATTATCAGTGCACTACAGTGCAGAAGAAAAGGCAGGTAACCGAAGCCGGGTCACCTGCCTGCAAGCTGCCAGGTGCTGTACCGCCTTTGTCGGCTTTCATTACATCAAGTCAAGGAAACAAAAGGAATCTATCAACATGGCCCTGCCTCTTTAGACATATATTCTAAACACATCTGATCTCGTGTCCAATGAGAAAGAAATCAATTCAAAAGGATCTCACCTTTCACCAAATTTTACCCTTAAAATCCTTAAACAGTCATATCACCGTGCACAGTATTTTTGGCAGTCACAGTCTCTATCACAAAGACAACTGGAGACTATAACTGGTATTTAAATGCCCCTCGTTGCATGAGGCAGTGTGGCTGTGTGGAGGGACAGAGGTCAGGATCTGCTGCTCCTGCCAAGGTTCTTGACTGGTTTTTCCTCTGCTGTTTCAGGGCCTATATCCCCAGCAATGTTAAACGACAAAATATCTGCAAGCAACCATGTCTAAATAAAGACCTCCGTATCTGACTCTCCAAGAAGCAGCCAATTTCAGAAAGGTCTTTCTCGGCCTGCTAGAGCAGACTGGGGTGAAAGTTGTACCGGAGGCTGGAGAAGAGCCCGATGTGTTTCACGAGATTGGGTTCCACCACATAGGCCCGCTCCCCCTTGGCCCTCAACAGTGAGTACAGTGCCATGTCCTTGCCAAAGCCCTGGTGGCAGTACACCTGGGACAGATAGGTGAGGGTCCGGCGGGCCGCAGGGGCAGGAAAGAGCATGGCTGGGGTGCAGCACTGCGAAGCAGGGACCACACTGTAGAGGGAAGGGCTCAGCCGCCGCAGTTCCAGGAAATAGTGCCGGCCCACCAGTTCCACCAGACCCATGCTATACAGGGAGAAGAAGAGCATGACGGGCCAGCTAAACCCTGGACGGCTGGCAAACCACATGTATATCCAGGTTAGTAAGGGCCCCAGCACCATGCCCACACCGATCCACTCCAGGATCCGCATGGGCTCTGGGTTGATGTAGTGCTGGAGCCTCTCAGGATGATAGAGCTTCAGATAAAGAGCATCTCTGAGGTGCGGCTCGGAGAGACGAACCCGCAGCAGGTGCTCCAAGACTGGGAAGATCTGTTCTTCTGGAATGGCATCATCTTCCACCATCAGGACGTAGTCTGGGTTGTAGGTCTGCAGGGAGGACTCCAGGCAATAGACGTAGTCCTGCTTCTCTTTCTCAAACGAGTTGGTCGAAGGGTCGTCTCCATAATCATCCTCAGTGCCCTCGTAGCGGTTGGCCACGGGGACATACTTGGACAGCAGCTTGGCATCGAAATGGCTCACACTGCGCTCCACGTTGCACAGGAAGAGTTGGTGCCCCTCGCACTGCGGGCCGCACTGTTGAAGAAGCCGGTGGAACTGGGACACCACCTGCAAGACGTAGTGGAAGCCAGGCTGCCTGTCTACAGTGACGATGGTGATGACCAGCCAGGGCCGGGGGGTGGCCTGCCAGACGATGGGCACCGAGCCGTTGGCAGAGGGTAGCTCCTCAAAGTAGTGGAGGGCAGCTTCACCCTCTTTCAAGCTTTGTTGCAGGTAATCTTGGCTCATTTGATTCAGATGCCAATGGCGAAGGTAGAAGTAAGAGTGTAGAAGCCGATGACAGGCCAGGGGGGCCAGCAGGCCAAACGTCACTACCGTCAAGATGAAGAGCTGGACAGCAGTGCTGCCCCAGGACAGCCGCCTCAGCCTCCGGAGAAGCATGGCAGCTGGAGAGGCTGATGAGCTCAGGAGGTCAACTCTGGTCAGGTCTGGTCCCAAGAACAAACCATCCTGGACTGCAGGCCCAAGTCAGTGCAAGTCAAACCTAAAGAAAGAGGAAGCAGAGAATGGTAAAGGGCTTTTAAAAATCCAGGGATGGAACTCAGCACATATCAAACCAGAAATTCCAGTTCTAGGCTGAGTAGCTACTAGAGTCTTAAGCATTGTCTCTAGTACACTATTCTTTGGTTGTGTCTGTCAATGATCTTTTGGATTATTTTATGATTTCTGTGAGTAATGAAACCTTGGTACATCCAATCAAGTCTTCATGCCTACAAGTGCTTAGTTAGGTTTACAAGGTGCCAGTAAGTCACCAGGTACATAAGCTCAGTATGTCAATTAAGCAGCTACACCAGAGCTTCTCAACCTTCCTAATGCCACGACCCTTTAATGTAGTTCCTTGTGTTGTATGTGAGTGTATCTGCATGTGGGTGGACCCGCCTGCAGACAGATAGAGGAGCGGTGTCTCAGTTCCTAAGACCATCCGAAATATGTGTTTTCCAATGGTCTTAGGCAACCCCTGTGAAAGGGTTGTTCGACCTCCAAAGGGGTCGCGACCCACAGGTTGAGAACCGCTGAGCTACACAGACATGGGTTCTTAAAACAGATGCAAAAAAACAGCAAGGCTTGACAGACACAAAAATAAGTTCCAAAGTAAGTGCACTGTAAATACTTTCTGATGTAATTTCTGAAAACTTGTCTTTTCTGCAATCCCAACCCCCTGAAAAAGACTATTTATGGCTCCCTAAAATGTCTCTGTCAAGATCTTCCATTCTTATTTCTCCAATTTCATGCAACTATACTTAAATTGTAGATTAGTTTAATCCTGATTGCTCCAGTGCTTTTATTTTTATTATTATTTTTAATCCTCACTCAAGGATATGTATTTTTTATTGGTTTTAGAGAGAGAGGAAGGGAGAGAGAAACATCCATGTAAAGAGAAACATCGATTAGGTGCTTCCCGTGCACACCCTGACCAGGGATCAACCGGGGATCGAACCCTCAACCTAGGTATGTGTCCTGACCGGGAATCAAACCTGAAACCTTTTGGTGTATGGGACAATGCTCACCCAGCCAGGGCTCCCATTTTATTTTTTACTACCATAGGAACCGGTGAGAGAAAGGATCTCCCCTGTGCAAGAGAATGTTAGAGCCCCAGACTTCGGGAGAAAAGGCCAGGTCTAAGGTAGGCAGAGATGAAGAGGGAAGAGACAGATGCCCTAGCCAGTCCCAGAAAGAAATGCCAAGTGACAAGATAACTCAGAGTGCAGGCCTGAGGTCAGGCAGGTGCTGGTCTGGACCCCAGCTCAGCCACTCACTTGGTGGACAGTCACTTCACTCTCCGTACCTTGGAGTCCAAACCTTGGAAATGGAGGAAATAGTCATACCTATCACACGGGGTGACTGTGAAGATTAAATGTCTTACACAGCAAAATAATGCATAGTAAAAATGCCATCAAAATACATCCCTATGTACAAACTCAAGTAGTATCTTAGGACTAAGCAGGTCTAATGATATGAGAAAAAGAGATTCACACCACAAAACAGAATTAAAAGGACAAAGCCAGTATGACACCAGTAAGGTCAACGCAAGACTAAATGGTGTTAACTCACAGACACAGACAACAGTGTGGTGACCGCTGAGGGGCTGGGTGGGGTGGAAGAGGGTATAGGAAGAGAGTGTAAGGGGGATAAATGGTGATGGAAAAAAATTTAATTTAATTTAAAAATTAAAAAAAAAAACACTAAATGGTGTCTATAGAACAGAAGGTAAACCTCTTACTTCAGAAGCATATAGTTTGCACACTTTTGGAAGAAAACAGCCTAGCTTGTGAATTATCTTGAAGAACGACTACCCAGGCACCGTACGAGGCTGTCGTGGGGCAGTCTCTAGTGGCCTCATATCCATGTTCTCCCTTGGGCACACAGAAAGACCACATGTACTAGCCCATCTTCTTCCAGGCGAGCCCATAGGACTAGGGCTTGCCAGTAAAATGTGAGCAAAGCAACGGGTGTGACTGCTGGGCCAGGTGGTTGACAGGTGTGCCTCTCAACGTTCTCCACCTACCTCTATCAGCTAAACAAACAGCCTTGGTGGATCTAGAATGGGGCGGAGCCACCAGGTGGCAGGAACCTGTATTCTTGAATGACTGCATGGAACAGAGGTCCCTCCCACAGCTCACTTCCAGCACCCTTCCTACCTAGAGTGGGCTGTGTTGTGAGTTATACGTAAACCTCTGTGTCTAGCCACGCATGATTTGTGGACTTGTTTATTACTACAGTTAGCCTACCCTGCCCACTAGAGTTGTGTAGAATACCAAACCTGTCTGCGGTACAGCAGGTCCTCAAATGACGTCATCTGGTTCTAACACTGATGAGATGGTGGAGGAACCTAGCTCTTGTTTACATCACCAAGTCTATGGTAAAATGGTTTCATTATATGTTTTGCATAAATTTGAAAAGCCTATTAACGGTGTTAAGTGAGGACTTACTGTATGATGACAGAGTAATTCAAGGAAGCAGAGAGACGAGTCTCATTTCAGCAACAGAAGCAGATTATATTGTGGAGTCCCAGAGGTGAGACAGACTATTCCAGTACTGGTAAGAGATCTGAATAGCACTACAGAGGGAGATAAGCAGGGAGAGGTTTGAATACTACACAACCCCAGCTTGATGACGTGTGCCTTCTGGAGAACTGCAGACTGGTTGCTTATCTCTGGGTCTGTCTAGGTCAAGGGTGTTAATAAATCACATGGCTGCACATCTCCATGGCCTTGCCAACTCCACATCACTCGGAGTGGAAACCAAGGGCTGAAACTGGGTTGAGCTCACACTCCTGCTGAGCTGGCGTTGGGAACAGAGTCATTTCGGTGGTTTCCAGCTCATCCTGTTCTCCCTACCCAAGAGAGCTGTACCCACTTAGAGGAACAAAATACAGTCAACAGGTAAGGCCTGCAGCTGGGGAAATGCAAGGCACACATTAAATGCTAAGATGACAATGTGATTATAATGACAAAGCAGAGCTCTTTTTCCGTATAAAACTGCATTCCACCCTCCTTCAACACACTGTCCCAGTAACAGTTTTTGGTAAAGCAACAATGTGACACTCTAAAGTCCAGGTAAGTCCCAGGGGTGGGATGTTTCAGGATGTGTGTGTGTGTGTGCAGAAATGCACAATCACACAATTGATTTAAACATAGGAATCTGACCATGTCAATCTCCTAATTAAAAGGTGGGGTACAGACTGACAAGTCTCAAAGGAGGGGGGTTGGGGGAAGAGATAAACCACAGAACTTATATGCATGTATGCATGACCAATGGACACAGACAACAAAGCTGGGGATGGGGCGGGGGGATGGGGAGGAGGGTGTCAATGGGGGAAAAAGGAGAAACATCTGTAACAAAAACAAATTCATAAAAAACAAAAAATAAAAATAAAAAAAAACCTTCTTTAGCTTCCGTTTGCTCTCTTAATAAATCCAAATTTCTTATCACGGTCCACAGGCCCTTTATGATCTGGCCCTGCCTTCCTCTGTCAGCTGGCTGTACTGCCTCCCTTTCTCAGTATGTTCAAAGCTAAGAGTTGTCAATATCTTTCTGCAAAGTGCTAGACGGTAACAGTTTAGACTTTGTGGGCCATGCACTCTTGCATATTCTTCTTAGGCTTTTTTTAAAACTCTTTAATCATGTAAAAACTATTTTTAGTGCTCCAGTCACATAAAGACAGGCTGGAAGCCAAATCTGGCCTGTAGCCCAGAGTTTCCAACCCCTGCTCTAGACTAGCTGCCCAGTAGAAATATAATACAAGTCACCCGTGTAATTCAACTTGTTCTCGTAGCCACAATAAAAAGGTAAAAAGAAAAAGATAACATTAATTTTAACATATTTTAATACAATACATCGAAACATGGAGCTAATATACAAAAATTATTAATGCGGTTATTTTACCTGCTTTTTTCATACTAAGTCTTTAAAATCCAGTGTGTATTTTATACTTACAACACATCCCAATTCAGGAAAATGCAAATCAAAACTGCAATGAAATATCACTTCACACCTGTTAGGATGTCTATTATCAAAGAGACAGGATATAACAAACGCTGGCAAGGATGTGGAGAAAAGGAACTCTTGTACACTGTTGGAACATACACTGGTACAACCATTAAGAAAACAGAAAGGAGGTTCCTCAAGAAATTAAAAATAGAATCCCACTTCTGGATATATATCCACTTCTGGATAAATATATGCTACGTAATCCCACTTCTGGATATATACCCACTTCTGGATAAATATATGCTACATAATCCCACCTCTGGGTACCCAAAGGAAAAAATCACTATCTTGAAGAGTTTCCTGCACTCCTGTGTTCACTGCAGCATTCTTCACAATAACCAAGACATGGACACAACCTACATGTCCAATGGCAGATGAATGAAGAAAGAATGTATGGCATATATTATATGCAATGAAATATTGTTTTTAAAAAGAAAATCCTGCCATTTGTGACAACATGAATGAAGCTGGAGGGCAATATGCTGAGTGAAATGAGGCAGAGAGAGAAAGCCAAATAAATACTGCACGTGATCACTTATATGTGCAGTATTTAAATAAAAAGTCAAACTCATAGAAACAGAGTGGAGTGGTAGTTGCCAGGAGCTGAGAGGTGGAGGGACAAGGAGAAGTTGGTCAATAGCTACTAACTTTCAGTGATAAGATGAATAAGCTCTGAGGATCTTATCACATAACATGCAATAACGTGCATAACATGATGACTATAGTTGATAATAGTGTATTGTATAACCGAAATTGGCTAAGACAGAACTTGTGTTCTCACCAAAAGAAAAAAATATGTTAAAAAAAGTAAACTCTATATCCAGATATGAAAAAATTTTAAGATATATCTTCAGTTAAAGAAGACATTTAAAATGCTACCATCTATGTAAAAAAAGGGGGGGGGGGAATATACATACATGTACTTGTATACACATAGACTATGGAAGGCAAGAGATTGGCAACTTTGCCTCCAAGGAGGGAACTGGGTGGCTT